GGTGTTTTCTGCACATGACATGCATCTATGAATGAAAAATAACAGTAAGTCGAGGACAATATCAGACGTATACATGCATGAAACACTCAATATTTTTGGCTGCTAGCTAGGTTTATGCCAAAATATGCAATTCGTTTATTAATGCATATTGTGTCTTGTGGAATGAAATATTCTAGGTTAAAGAGAAAAGCAAGATGTACACTGAGATCACTATTGAAAGGATAAGGCTCTTTGTTGGTGCGTTTTGTGCTGATAACAAAGGTTGCATGCCTGCTTACATCTCTCGGGTCAAATATTTGACTGGCACCTGCAATAAGCTTCTAAGCAATATAAAGCTCATGAAGGTACATTTTCTTTGCAAATCTTTACAAATATTTTTTTTTAAAACAAACTTAATTAATTTTCCTTTAAGCTTTTCTTATGTATGAAGTATACTAGTGGATTGTCATGTTAGATCATCCATGAGAAGATAATGATAAACACCTTAATTAGTGTATGCTTACCCAATGAATAACGAAAATCACTGTAGAACTTTTGAATTAGAAAGTAAATGCATAGTTTAAGTCTACTTTTTTACTTTAAGTCTAATTTCTAATCAAGATATTTATTATTTAATGATGATTTATAATTTACAATGCATCGTACAACCATCCTAATTAAAATATATAATGGAAAATTATCATTTGGAAAAACAGTATCTAGGAAGTATATATAGAAGATGCAAATTCCCATTATTTTAGGGTGAGTGTGATTTTTATAATTTGGAAAATATTTTTACACTCTAATTTCGAAACTCAATTACTTTTAGGCAGAAAATTGAAAGTTTTATGAAAAAGAAAACCTATATTATTGTAAGGGTATATATTTTTAGACCCCCCAAAAAAATAGCATATGTTAATTTCTCTATTTATTCAAAAATTATTAACTTTTTGGAGAAAAGTTAAAAAATTAATAATATTCCCTCTTAAATATCTTTTGAGAAATTACGTACATAGATATATAACTTTTACTTTTCTACAATTGAATAAATTTTAAGGTGGTTAGATATCACTATTATCGTTCATAATTTTTTTAAAGAAAACAGAGATCATAGCTCCGTCTTGAATATACACTTGTAACTCAGCCAATTCATTATATATATTGGTTCATCAGATCTTAATGTTTATTGGCAATGTTTTCACGATTAATGCAAAATTGCACGCAAACAATGTTTTGACACATTCTGAACTTGTTTTGTGAACAGGAAAGCACACAATGGGAGAGACCTCCATTCAAGTTCTTGCCACCCTACAATAAAATATCATGGGCAAAACTACAAGCAATTGAAACATCCATAAAAGGCATGCATTTTGCCCTAGCCGCCTCCTCTCAATCTCCCCACAAAACCCTAGACAACCAGCATCTCAAAGAACAAATATCCTCCCTCAAAGACCAAACCATCACCAGACTCAGAATACAACCAAACAAAAACATTGAAACCAAAAGCTCTCACTGTTCTCCCCTTCATGTCACCCTCCATGACCACCTCCCCTCCCTCTTCTTCCTCTTCTCCATGAACATCCTCCTCGACGTCAAAACCCTAATTCCTCCGAAAACACCCAAAGACACCAAGATTAGTACTATTTGGACCATGAACATAACCACCGAAAAGGTCGTCATCGCCTTAAAATGCTCCCTTTGTATATCTCTTTCTGTCCTCTTTGGTATCCTCTTCAGCAACGCCAACGGATATTGGTCGGGTCTAATGGTGGCGACCGCTTTCACTCCGAACCGGGAGTCTACATTCAAGTTGGCCACTGCTAGAGCTCATGGCACTGCCCTAGGGTCAGTTTTTGGTCTCTTAGGCGCGTTCATCTCTCAAACCCTAATGGAGGTTAGATTACTAGTCCTCATCCCTTGGATCTTCTTCTCCAGCTTCTTGCACCGAAGCCGAATGTATGACCAAGCGGGGGCCACCGCCGCCGCCGTCTCTGCCATCATACTTTTAGGGAGGAGAAACTACGGCTCACCTATGATATTCTCTATACAAAGGCTCACTGAGGCTTACATTGGCTTGTGTTGCTCTATACTCGTTGAGATCGTTTTGCAACCGGTGAGGTCTTCGACTATGGCGAGGGGCGAGCTTGGAGAGAGCTTGAGATCGCTCGACGAGTGTGTCGAGTCAATTATAAACGTTGACGGGTTGAAGGAGCAAGAGAAGAAGCTTGTGAAGAGAGTGAGCGAGTTGAAGAAGCGCATCGAAGAGGGTGAGCTGGAGCCCAACTTGTGGTTCTCGCCATTTCCTGTTGCTTGTTACAAAAAGCTATGCGAGTCCCTTTCCAAGATCGGGGACCTCTTGTTCTTCTTTGATCATGGAATGGAGACGTTGAGACGAGAGGGTTGTGAGATTAAGGGGAGCGTCGAAGGAGACCTGAACAGGTTCAAGGAGTTGGTTGGCGGTTTGGTGAAGAGCCTAGAGGAGGTCATTCTAGTAAAATCACTTGATAAGCTAGAAAAGGAGCTGATGAAGAGCAAAGATGGTCGTGATGACGTTGAGGCTGCAGGAAGAAAAGGATCAGGAGTAAGCCCGTGGGCCAACTGGAGCACTCTAAGCGTGGACGAGGAGGAGATTGAGAAGGTCGTTTGTTGTTTTATTCAGCATTCAAGAGAAGCGGTGGAGGGGGTCGGCGTCAAGGAGGTGGATGATGAAGGGAGGAGCCGGTTGGTGCTTTGCTTCGGTGCGATTGGCTTTTGCATGGGAGAGTTGATGAGGGAGATGAGGGAGGTGGAGGAGGGGGGGGGTGGAGGAGGGGGTGCTTGAGCTCGTGCAGTGGGAGAATCCTTCAAGTCGTGTTAATTTGTATGAAATTACTTGTAAGATAAAAGATGTGTGTGTACCTAATTAATTAGCAAGTTAAATTTTTTGTTCTTCTTCTTTTAATTAAAAGTGAATAAAGTGGCGGACATAAACATATATTATATATATATTTTTTTTTTGTTGTGGCCGGGATCGATGCAGCTGTACGTGATGAGGCAGTGAATACAAACAATGGATACTTGTTGCATATATAAGTAAAATCATACCGCAAGGACGGGGGGAGCCGATATTTGTAGTCAAGCGTTGGTTGTCCAGTTACAGGTTTGTAGGGGACCAACATTTGTTCAATAGCCTGCAAGACTAGGACAAATTGAGAAGAAAACAGTGAAAATGCAAACAAATCAATTAAATGATCAATGACGGGTCAAGGTTTTTTTCACAACCGTTACAAAAAATGAGTAGATCATCTATATATGTGATCGGTCGATCGCAGTGGGATTCGAACCCACGACCTTTAGATCCGGAGTCTAACACGATATCCACTTCGCTATGCGATCATTATATATATCTATATCTATATATATATTGTTAAAGTCTCTTCCGCAGCATCAGAAGCCCGCGGATGGTGAGAAATTGAAAACATAAATTCCTCTGCAACCTCACATGTAAACAAAGCATTCTAAACCAAACATGAACAACTGCATTTTTAAAACTGCCACGTACCACATCACCACATCATTTGTAAAAAAAAACAATCAAGTAATACAAAATACTAAACCAGTATCTTTCATTACAAATGAACAAATGCATAAACATGAAGGAAAAAAATGAAAAAACCAAATATTAAAAAAATATTGTGGCTGCTGGGATTCGAGCCCAGGTCTTCACGGCCACAACGTGAAATTCTTACCACTAAACTACAGCCACATTGTGTTTTACTGTTTCCTGGTTCTTATTAATCCTTATTAGTAAATAAAAAAAATCTTTTATTAATCCTAATCCTAACGTAATGACGACGTACATGCTTCCTTTGGACAAACACGAAATTATTTAAACGGCGACGCAATTCCAGATCAAACTCTCTAGGGTTTTTGTCAAAAAGAAAGGGATAAGGATCGACCTCAAACGGGTTATCGGATCCTCTTCCTTCTTCTTCTTCTTCTTCCATTCCAAAACCCTAAGGGAAGGGGGGCCATGTCCGCTGGAATCTGCGGTAAGCGGGTCGGGTTCGAGGACGTCTTCGGATCCCCGTCTTCGCAGGGTCCGTCGGCGAAGCGATCACGCTGCTCCCCTTTCGGATCTCCGACGCGATTCTACGACCTAGGGTTTGGATCTGAGGATAAGCTTTCGGTTTTGCTTCGGATGTTTCCCTCGGTGGATCGCAAGGTATATTGATGAATTTGATGTGTTTTTACTGGAGAAATGAAATTGATTCGTGCTGTTACATGAACATTTGCGAGAAAAACTCTTGCTTTGTGATCGGGGTTAATTGTGAAAAAAGATTTGATCTTTGAAAAAAAGAAGAAGAAGATCGAGATGTTAATTAGCTTTCAATTAATGGTTACTTTTGAAAACATCGGATATGGTTGAGGATCTTCATCTTTTCTTATTCCCGACAAACTTAATGCTACCTAATATTGTGTAAAATTCAAATAATTGACTTTGAGGAAGTTTAGCATACCATGATGGCATTTTATCCTACACATTCTTCACTTTTGTTTAATCACTGAATATTTATCTCTCACAACAAACCCAATCAAATTTATTGTCTACCATTTATTCTCCATTTCTTTAATTTTACAGTTAGATAAGGATAATGCTTAAGCATCTGCAATGCACATATCAACAAAATTGTTTTCTCAAGTTTTGTGCTCTATGAGGTAATGTTTAATCTTATGCTTCTCGTGCTTTGGTTTTTTATCCCCTATATGGTTGAATTGGCGATACTCTAGATGCTCTTGAACCACATATGACTAATGGCTGTAGGAGTAAGATGGCATGGGAACAAAATTGCTTGAAGGCATACTAGAGTATTCACATAGCTGAGCATAGTTACATAGTAGCAATATGTGGCGGACCGTGGTACAAAATCGGGTATGCAATTCGCCACTTCAAAAATTTGGATTCGAGGGGGGTAGCTTGCTTTGGTACACAACTTTGGTAAGTGGTAGGTTGTAAATCTTTTTCGGGTGCGCTTATTATATTCCATCGTGTATAGCAGAAAACTAGAATCTAGAACGCTAATTATACGTTTCAATATTTTTTCTTACAAAATACTTAAACGTTTCTTTCTTATAGAGATCTTTTTTTATTCTATTTTTCTTTTCACATAGCGCGTATTGGGATCATGGCTTCATTTCACATTTTATTAACATAGGTATTTAGTTTTGAATCATATATTCTATTGTATGCCTCTCCTCACTCGATTGTGCACATTGCATTTTGTCTTGTACATGTGCACTTTAAAGGGACTTTGCACCTTGCATCCTTGTAAACGGTACACCAATTTTGGGGAACCAATTAGCTTATTGTAGGAAATTGGTTCAAAAATGCATTGAGAATCGGTTCATAGGAACTTTATGACGGTTTTGAGGAGGGGTTTCCAAAGAATCTCACAATTATGTAGCTGAGTATAAGTGGTTCTCATCTTTGAAGCTGCCTTCTTTCTACCAGAATATACTCATTTGTTCTTTATTTCTGCTCCTTTTGGTACCCAGTTGTTAATAGTGATGACACGTCCTTTTTTTGCATGATTCAGAGGCCAAGTTGTATACTTAGGGTCAGTGTTTTAAATATTGGCCGACATGTCGGACATGTCGGCCGATATAGCGGATTGAGGGGTCCAACGACACAAATCGGGGAAAAACAAGTCGCATATCTTTTTTTACCGACATATCGGCCATATCGGCGAAAAATTGGCCATATCGGCCGATTTTCTTGTTTGGAAAATCGGCCATATCGGCCGATTTTCCTGTTTTTTCTTTTTTTCTTCTTCACACGTGAATGTTTGGTTTGTGGACTATTTTGATTAATAATAGGCTAATGATTACTTGATGTTTGATCACTTGATTAATAATAGGCTAACTGATTAATAATAGGCTAATGATTATTGATTAATAAGGAGAGATTTATTTTATTTTAAATGTGCATATGAATGTTGAAATGTGCAGAGTCATGAAGTTATGAATTTAGGAATGCTTAGATAGTTAGATTACATTTAGGGCATGATATTATACATATGTGGATCACCCGATATGGCAATCCGATATTTAGTCCATGTCCCCCGATATATCCCCGATTTCCGCTATCCGACATGGATTTCAGCCGTCCGACATGAACCCGACATCCGATATTTAAAACCTTGCTTAGGGTTTGTGTGGTTCGCGTGGAAAATCCCAGAAGGGGTTTCCATCACCGCCACCACAGAAATCAAAATGCCCAAACTGCCTCATTTCTTGTGTTAGTTTCATTTCGGAAGTTACTTTGCAACCTCGTGTAGAAAACACGTGCTACATCTTCAAAACTGGAATTTTAATTTCCGAGCTTATAGTTTGGAATTGGGTGCAAAACGCAATAATTGTGACAATTGCCTCTTAACCTAAAGTTTTACCTTGGTTTATTTTTAAACACAGTAGTTTTAACTGTACCTAAAAACCCAAACAACTTTATGTATTTGTCTTTAAACCCAAATAGCATAATTTAGGGTTAACTTAGCATGCGTACAGTTAGGGAGCACAAAGTCCAAAATATCCCCAACCCACTCGAAACTCCTCCCTCACGCGATCTTTCTTTCTCTATCTCCACTCTGTAAGAAACCAATCCTCCAAACAAAACCTAAAACCGATCCCACCTCCCAAAAAATCGAAAACTCTCTCCTCAATTATCTCCAAAGTCAACACCAATTTCGAGACCTGAAATATCCATTGTTCCTCAAAATTGTTTGTAGTGTGTTGGTCGAAGGCTAGGATGGAGCTTGTGAAGGTTGAAGGTGTGTCTTGATTGAGTTAAGATTCTTCTAGACTAAAATAATGTATATTGCTTAAATCTGATACAAACAAGGCTTACTAAGGATACAAACATGGCTTACTATTGGCAAATCGTACTCCAAAAGTCAAATAACAAACAATAATAAATTAATAATGATAAGAGCCAATCCAAATATCTATAACAAGATACATAAAAGGGTTCCCTTCAAACAAAGGAGGCTTCAACGTCTATTCCAAATTGTTGGTTTCTGGATGGATTGATTATTCAATATATAGAGAGGCAGGGAGAGGGGGGGGGGAGGTGGTTCCTATAGTATTTGCCGCTTCCAAGATTGAAAACAAATAGAAATCCTCATGCAAGTTGGTTGGAAAATTCTTTGTAGAGAAAGGATCACCAAAGCATCATTAGTATGCTTGTTCTTTTATAGAGGGACGTGGAAATGAAGAGGTGGTTGATTGAAACATTATTTATCAACTAATGCAACTTTTAAGTGCATGGTGATCATCTAAAACTTGATGCAAAACTGTTCAAAGGGACAAAGATTTATGGAGAAAATGTTTCAAATTGGTTTATGTGATCTTTCACGTCATATGTAAATCTCTTCAATAATAAATGACATTAATTATGGTTTATATAGATGACGAGTTAGCATGTTTTTCACTCAATTCTTGTCTCTCAACTTGTTTACAACCTATACAATGTGTATTGGTATTATTGTCTAATCGATTTCCTAATACTTGATACATATGGCAATGATGGTTGACTGGGCCAAACATATATAATGTCTATTATGGTCGATTCTATAATGCTATAGTTTATGAAGTTGTTGCTTCACCAAGTATGTTAACAGGTATCCTGAAAAATAGATGCAATCAATGTTTTAAAAAGCTCTTGCCCAGCCGCTTGGGTTCCGCCAAGGCCTAGGCAATATCTAAGCCGCCCGCCTTGGTCTTGGGAGCATCTAAGCCTAGGCGGTGCTTTTTGCGGACTGCATCGCTTAGGGCTTGGTCGTGAATTTCTCCATTGCCGCCTCCGTTGTGCTCCAACCACTTTCAAACTCCTTCGGCCTCCTCCAACTATGAACACCTCCTCCAATTCTTTTGACCTTCAGCAAACCCACTTAAACAAAAATAGAAATCCTCACGAAGGAGAGATGCATGGTAGGTAAACATATTAGATGATTAGCGTATAGACTATTCATGTTATTTTATTTTTGCTGATAATTTGAGCATTAGGGTTCTGAAATTGGGATATTGTGTCATTGACATTAACTTATTGTGCTGGTATTTCTTAGTAGTTACCATTTAGTCTATTTATGTAGAATTGATTATGAATCTATGATATTGTTTATTTTTTGTGATTTTCTATGAATTTAATGCATTTATTATCCGTTTCTGGCGCTTAGGCTACCTAGCGCTTTGTTTAACATTGGCTGCAATGCACATTGGTGCAAAATTTGGTAGCCTCACTAAAATTATGAAACCAAAATTGCTTGCAAGTGACAAATATGAAGCAAACCCCGATAATGTGCTACTGTGATATTTTGATAGCATTGAAGTCATGTAAAAATAGAGAAAACAAAGGGAAGTATTTTTGGGGTTGTGCATCATACCCAAAAAGAAAATGCTAATTCTTTGCATGGGCAAATGGAGAATGTGATTTTAATGAGAGCAGTTCAAAGGTTGATGAAATCTTTTATGGAGAAAAAAAGCCAAGAATATAAAGCACTTGAAGAAACAATTGAAGCATGCAGAAAGTCATTGCAATATGAAAATTATGTACTCGTAAGTTGTAAATGATATGAATTCTCAATGAATCAATGTATTTCAAAGTTTCTCATGAAAATTGATATAGTGTATATAAAGATCATAAAATCAACAACTTGAGTTCAAAACAAAATTGTGAGATCAAAATGCAATTTGGGATAACTTGGGACCAAACACAAAATAACTTGAATATTACATGTAAAACACTATAATATCTTGAAACCTGGCATAACATGACTTGCAACCATCAATAAGTTGAGAAACAGAGACACAAACACGTGTGTGTAGTCAGTGACGGAGCCAAGGTGGTCCAAAAAATAATTTAATATGACAACAAGATTTTGAAATGGGATATAGATTTATACCTATTTGTACATTGGAGGTATTGTTCTTCATGTACTTTTGTATGTAAAGAAGAGGCTTGAACCTTGATTTCTTTCCTATGTCAAGAAGGGAGTTAACTCAAATCCATTCTCTGATTCAACTGTGAATCCAAATTGTCCTCAGATGAAAAAAATTAAAGTTATGAATCTAATCCTTAGTGGAAAAAGATAGGCTAAATATCACTTAAACATCTTATATTTTCACTCACTTGCACTTATATACCCTTGTATTTCGTGACATTTATATAGCCTAAATTGTTTAAGATTGGCACCTTTGTACTCTTTATTATGCAAACGTGAAAATTGTCATATAGGTTGCAAACGTGAAAATTAGAATGAGTGTTGCATGTAAATTTTTAGGGGAAATTCTCGCATTTGCATAACTAACCTCACTTTACACTTATGTGCCCTGAACTTTATTTTTGTGACATTTATATATCCTAAATTGTTTAAAATTGGCATGTTAGTACTCTTTATTATGCAAACATGAAATTGCGATACAGGGCGCAAACGTGAAAATTAGAATGAGTGTTGCATGAGAATTTTTGGGGAAAATTCTTTGCATTTGCATAACTGAGGATATTTGCAAGTTTTAAAAACTTTAGAATAATTGAGTGCAAGTTTTAAAAACTTTAGAGTATTTAAGTGTTGCGAAGAATAAGTGAGGATACATAAGGGCAAGTTTTAAAAACTTTGGGGTATATAAGCAAAAACAAGCGAGGTTATATAAGTGCAAAGTACAAGAAACTGTAGGGTATTTAAACTTGTGCCTTTCTTGTAGTCTTAAAATTCCTCAAATGATGAAAGTAAAACGCCACGTAAGATTCTGATGGCAATAAGGTTCAGAAAAAGTCAAACTTATCATAGTTAGCAATCCAATACATCGTTATATTAGATGTGCGTTGCTAATCTCAAATCGTGACCAATATCATAGCTTACTCAAAAGTGTAGAAAACTAGAAATTGATTTATCATCAACAATTTCAAAACCCCCATAATTTGTAGAAGTGCAACTTTATAAGCAACTATAGCATCATAGAATCAACCACCATAGCCATATTATATATGCTTGACTGAGTCAAGCATAATTACCTCTTGTCTCATTTATCAGATATTAGTTAAGACTGTCATACCAGTACAGGTTGTAACTATCAAGTTGAGAAACAAGAACTGAATATAAAGCATGCTAAGTCGTCATCTGTATCAATAATCTGTCATTTATTATTGAAAAGATTTAATATATAATGTGAATGATCGCATAAACCAATTTGATACATTTCCTTTATAAACCTTTATCCCCTTATACAATTTTGCATGAAGTGTTAAAGGGTCACCAAACACTTAAAAGTTACATTTGTTTCAACCAACTACCTCTTCATTTCCATTTCCCTTTATAAAAGAAGAAGCATGCTAACGATGCTTGGAGCAAATCTGAAGAACCATTTGAAGTGGAGATGAGCTGGAGAGGAATAAACTAAGGTGAAGAATCATTTGTATGACCACCCAATGTTATTACCTTACCTTTCAATAATTATCTTGAAGTAATTGATATGAATTATATGAATTTGATCAAAAAAATTTTGAAGCATCAAATGCTAACCTTTGAGAACTATGAAGACTGGTCTATTTCAGATCAAGAGGAGGAAAAAAATGGAAGATGTGATGGAGGAAGTATTGCATTCACTTGGGGTTAGACAGCTAAAAGTCGGGGGTTGACCAAGATGTGTGAAAATGTTTGTTTTGCAAAGGGAAAGAACTAAAGAACTAGGAGAAGGCACATCTCCAACAGCATGGCTATAGAGTAGGTTAAGAAGGGTTTTCCAAGTGGAAATTGAAGGATGTTGCAAGCTAGCATGCCTCGACAAATTTCTCAATGAAGAATTAAAGTGAGAATGAGAACCCCAGTAGGATATTGTTTTATATAAAGTTTTATTTTACACATTAGCCTCTATCTATTATGTTCTGTAATTTTATCTTGTTTTATAATAGAACAATTTGGTTAATAATGTATCTATGTTTGGTGCAACATTATTAATGAGAAATCAAGTTAAAACAACTCAATCTTCGTAGCACTTTGTAGAGAAAAGTAAAAGGAAAAAAACACACAAATGTTACTCTATGAGGCTGATGGGCTCAAGTTTGATCATCAACGTCAAAGTATGCCTCACCAATAAAATTTTCAACAAACATTTGTAGGCTGTATATTTTATTATTTTAGTTGTCATGCCTATACAGTGCTAAACGAGTATTTGGTTGCATATCTCGTGTAGTGACCCTCATCATAGCACTGTTGAAAATTTAAATTAATAAAGACAATACTATGAAAGCAGACACCCCTAGCCATTAATTAGTTATCACATAACCCCATTAACTGAAATTAGCACATGGAATTACATAGAAATCTAAAATAATACCAAGAAATAGCATCAAAGACTCAAAATCTTTAAACATGTTATCATGCTTAAATTACACTGAGCAAACTAAAAAGAATTTTTTGTCAAAAATTCACAAAGGTTATTGCTTGTAAAAAAATTAACTTTTGATAAAGTTTTAACAATGTTTTTAGCAGGGAAGGGACGAGTATCCGACATATCCACCTATTTACAGTTAGATCTTGCTGAATTTGCACAATCTCAGAACTAAATCAGTAAATAGATCAACTAAAGAAGCAGACCAAGATTCCACATGATTAACCTATGTATGTAGCAGCAAATCAACAAAAGTCATCGAGCTTTAGGGCTTTTTACTCTGAGCAATGGCCTCACGCGATTAAAAGAGACAAGTTCCAAATGGTGGAGAGGGAACAGTGATTGTAATGCCCAATTTTGCCCCAACCTAAAGGTTTTTTTACTGTGAGTAATGGAGGCGGGAGACGGGAAGGGCAAAATAGCTGTAGTTCTAACCCTAATCCCTTTTCCCATATTTCTTCACACGAGAAAACCAAGAGTCAGTGAGTGACTTCTTAATCACATTTATTTTGTTTTGCACCCGATTCGGAGCTCTTAGCTCAGAAGTAAAACTTCTAGTTTTGATGATGTAGCACGCATTTTCTATTTCCATGACTTCCAAAATGAAACAAACACAAGAAATGGAATCATTTTTGGCATTTTGTTTTCCGTGGTGGGGGTGTCAGGTGGTGGAAACCCCTTTCTGGGCTTTTCCATGCGAATGGAACAACCCCTTATCAAATACTCGTTTTGGCATCTCATAAAATTTTATGATATATTATTATCTACACATGTCAAACTCTAGCTTGAGTAATACTTTCTTTAACATTCAAATGCATGATTAATGATGCTCATACTTCAATTTAATTTGTGGATGCATTTGAGTATATGCATGGTATTACTTTCTCTACATAAAGATATGCCTGAATTATGACGTTCCTTGGGAGAGTGCACAGAAGTGTATGAATGATGTTGCTTTATCTACATAAAATCACATATTTTTACTGACAATGAATGGGAATAACAAGCCATTACTTGTCATTACATTGTGTAAGGCTGTGCCTTTTTCATATAATTCAAAATGCTTTTTCTGTTGTATATCTAGAGATCTTGTTCTTTTCATGTTACATGAAAGACTGAAACTTAATACTATACTGGATTCAATTATCATTTCAGGTTGTGGAATTGGTTCTGGAAACCCATGATAACAAAATTGATGATGCCATTAAGAATCTAAATGCCCTTTGCCTTGGCAGCAATCTTAAGGCAGATGAAGCAAGAAGCTTGAATGCGACAGCTCTTTCAAATGAAAGTGCCGTTGAAGGTAGAACACGGTTCCATCTTGCCTCCATGAATCTTGGTTTTGAGTGGCCTGGGGATGAAGTTAGTCTGATCCATGGATGCTATGCATGAAGCTTTATTTTTTTCATAACTTTTCCGCGTCCATAAATTTCAGGTGAAATTTTAGGGAACTCTAGGACGTTTCAAAATGGATCCTCGTGGGTGGATCTTTTTGTACAGGAGATGCATAGTGTGTCAAATTGGGATGATGTGAGAGGCAAGGCTACTATGCTCTTGGAAGCTTTTGAAAAAAATGTCATGTGTCAAATTGGGATGATGTGAGAGGCAAGGCTACTATGCTCTTGGAAGCTTTTGAAAAAAATGTCATTGACAACTCCATGACGTCAAAGGAGGTGCAAGGCTACTATGCTCTTGGAAGCTTTTGAAAAAAATGTCATTGACAACTCCATGACGTCAAAGGAGGTTAATAGTCTTATAGTTTCATTAAGTTGAGGAGTACCTTTTTCTATTTTATTAACAGGAGTTATTTCTCAAAACTTCGTCTCCTTAATACAGCAGGAGATTGGTTTGCTTAAAGAGCATCTTCAGTGTGTATCGAAGGACAACAACATTCTGAAAAAAGGCATTCAAATTCAGCGTGAGCGCAATCTAGAGCAAGAGGAGAAGCTAAAAGAAGTGCCACAGTTGAAGCATTTCATTAGCCAATGTCAAGAGCAAATTCGAAAATTAGAGGTACTCCAAATCAATTACGATTCCACCTCATTGTTCGAAGATTACTTTTCCACAAAAGCCCATTACAGAGAGTTGTTGTGAATACATTAAACCGTAGTTCACGCACATCGAGTTTTTAGTAGGGGACCCTGAGTGTTTTTACTTGATCATCCTCCGTTGTTTTTTGGTGGCACGATGCTACTGTTTGTAATTGATAAGGATTTTGTTACTATGTTGATAGGTGTTTCCCCATTGTCTATGTGCAGATGGATAATTACACATTAAGGGTCTATCTTCAGAGAGCACAGGAATCCAATTCTATGCCAGGTCATCACCACCGAGACATATTTTAGAGTTCTTCGATTTTGTATCATTTGGGTATGAACCTCATCAAGCATTTGCCTAGGACAGCAGCTGAAGACTTGAGCACTGGGAAAACATCCGGATATTTGTCCATTTTAGTATTTATTATTAGCTAATCCCACGAAGCAAAGGTAAAGAATTTGTATTTGTTTGGTTGCTTTGTATCACTAAAATCAGTTTTTACTGTTCCAATGTCAAGGGATCTGATAATATTATTATCTAATATTTATATGTTGTATCTATTTTGTACTCATCATCTGCGTATGTGATTCATGTATCACTTCTTTCTGGATATTCTTGTTCTGCATATTTGGGTGATCGCTCGTGTTACAAAGATTCATGTAATCACGCTAATAGCATTATATATTGTGTATTTATTTGAATTCTTCTATCTTCTTGTATTTGATGTATGTTTTTCATGTATCACCTCTTCCTGGGTATTCTAGTGATCATTGTTGTTATCAAGATGTGTATATAATCAGCACTATCTATCAGCATTCCCATTGCTATGTTATCGAAAGAACTTTTCTGTATGAATTTGATAACTGTGGTGATTGATAAGTAGGAATAAGCATTTGTACATTAGTTGCCTTTTTTTTTTTTTTTTGGTTTCAATCCATTTTAATTTGCCTTATACTATATGTTCTATTTATTAATTCCACTGATGCCCTGGTTCCTACATACTTTTACTCAGCAGCAGTTCACATATCCCATGAAAATTATGTGTTTCATCTTTTTTTTTTTATCAGGAACCTTGTGTAGAATAATGGTAACTGGATTTACAAGGGGAGCAGCCAACTTGTGATCCCTTTATGCTTGAAAATTCTTCATAACTGGAGATTTATTCATAGATGACATACTGATATTTGACTTATTTTGCAAAAAGAAATTTAAAATGGAGAAGGCACTTTTTTTATGTTGATGTATCCACAATTACAATAATATGAAGCTCAATCCGTGCGGATATCAGGTAAGTCTTGCACAAAACAAAGGAGCAGGTTCTTCTTTAATTGTTGGCTACCAGAAATCAAGGAATAATTTCTGGGCTAATAATTTATGTGACTTTTGGAGTGTAGTGCTACTTTTGTCAATAACTGATTGATGATTGCACTAAGCCCAATGGGACAGAAAGGAGAGTAATAAAACTAGAAAAATTCCTCAAGGACCCAAAATATGGGACCAATAGGGGGGACAAGTGAGGTGTCCCCCTTCTATTGGATAATGAGTTGGTCATCATTAATGATGACCAACTTATTATCCAATAGGAGGGGGACACCTCACATGTCCCACTTATTGGTTTAATATTTTGGGTCCCTGTAGCAAAGCTCATAAAACTAATTTGTATTTGTTAAGAGTAGACAATAGAAAGAGAACGGAGCAATTCACTTAAAATCCAACCACTCTCCTCCTAGTCTGTCCGCCCGCTTTAGCAGGCTCAAGAAAGCGAGAAAATTTGCTTCTTTTTAACCCCTCCCAATCATTCCCCTCACTTACTAGAAAACGTAAATAAACACAATTTTAGGATCGTTAGAGCATTGTAACTTTCCCAACACCTCCCCTCCGTTCTTAAAAAAAGATATCCTAACCAACCCAAGAGTTGAAATTTTAGGATTGTGGTAAGTATTAGGTTTTTTAGAGTAAAGCATAACTGTTCACGAGGTAACAAAATTAGTAGCAATCCCTATGCTAGTTTTTAATAGTACAGAGGATTCAAATCCGTGAAATGCTAACTCGAGGGGTTGTAATAAAAGAAGTGGGTTAACAAGGTAGCGAAAAGAGCTTGAGCTCAGAGTACTAAAAAAGAAAAAGAAAAAGCAAGGAGCATAAAAAGGATGTCAATTGTCATAGGTTATAGACTTATAGTCCATAATTTTTGAAAATTTTGGTTCATTTTGAAATAATGTAAACAAATTACGTCTACGTTAAAATTTGTGATTTTCATGAGCTATTACACATGATTTCTATCAATTTTGGTTCAGCTCGAACGATTTTTTTTATGTGTACATTAAAATATGTGATTTTCATAGGCTATAACCTACGTTTTTTAGACAACTTTTGTGTTGTTTTAAATGAATGTATATAAATTATATGCACATCAAATTTCAAGATTTTCCTTAGCTATAATTCATGATTCTTGTCAATTTATTGTATGTAAATCAAAATCTATGATTTTCATGAGCAAATAAGCCACGAATTTTGTCAATTTAGGTTTACTTTGAACGAAAGTAAATTTGTTATGTGTACATAGAAAATTGCGATGTTCATGAGATTTTACTCATGATTTTCAATAATCTTAGTTCATTTCGAATGAATGTAAGTAAATTATGTGTACATTCAGATTCACAATTTTTATGAACCACAACCCAAATTCTGTCAATTTACATCTATAACAAAATTTATAATTTTTATGGGCTATATAACTCATGACAATTTGGGTTCACCTTTGAAGATTGTAAATAAATCATTTGTACATCAAAACTCGTGATTTTAATAAGCTACAACTCATGAATTTGTAAATTTTGGCTTGTTTTGAACAAAAATGAATTTATTACGTGTACATCAAACTTTACAATTTTCATGAGCTATAATCAATATTTTTTGTAAATTTTGTTATGTTTTGAAAGAATGTAAATAAATTATATGCACATCAAAATTTATAATTTTTATGGGCTATAACACATGATTGATGTCAATTTTGGTCCGTCTTGAACGAAAATAAATTTATTATGTGCACATCAAAATATGTTATTTTCATGGACTATAGTCCGTGATTATTTAAAATTTAGTTAGTTTTTAACAGGCGTAAATTTATTATGTGTATTCCAAAGTTTGTGATTTTATGGGCTATAACGTATGATTTTTAATAATTTTGATTTATTTTAAATGAATATAAATGAATCATGTGCACATCAACAATTACTATTTTCATGAGTTGTAACTCATAAATTTTCTCAATTTTGGGGAAGCAAATTTATTATGTGTGTATCAAAATTGAGGTTTTCATGGGCTATAACCTATGATTTTTGATAATTTTGATTCATTTTAAATGAATATAAATAAATTATATGTGAATCAAAAGTTTTAATTTTCATCTGTTATAGCCCACAAATTTTGTTAATTTTGATTGGTTTAAAAAAATTAAATTTAACATGTGCATATCAAAAAAATTTATTTCCATAGGCTATAACCCACATTTTTGACGATTTTATTTCTTATTTAAATAATGTAAACAAATTAACACAAAATTGAGATTTTCATGGGCTATAACCTATGATTTTTGATAATTTTGATTCATTTTAAATGAATATAAATAAATTATATGTGAATCAAAAGTTTTAATTTTCATCTGTTATAGCCCACAAATTTTGTTAATTTTGATTGGTTTAAAAATAAATAAATTTAACATGTGCATATCAAAAAAAGTTATTTCCATAGGCTATAACCCACATTTTTGACGATTTTATTTCTTATTTAAAGAATGTAAAAAAATTATATGTTATGATTTTCATGCGTTATAGCACACAATTTTTTTCAATTTTAATTTGTTTCTAATGAAAGTAAATTTATTTTGTGTACATCAAACTTTGTGAATTTTATAGGATACAACTCCAAGTTTTTTTAAATTTAGGTTCATTTTAAATGAAAGTCAATTTATTATGTGTATATTAAAATTTATAATATTTTCATGAGAATAATTGACTATTTTTTTAAAAAAAGGGTTAGTCTCCAACAAATGTAAATAAATTATGTATACATTAAAAACTATAATTTTCATCGGCTATAGCCTATAATTATTATCAATTTTGGTTCATTTCAAATAAAAGTAAATTTTAATATGTATAAATTAAATTTTGAATGATTTTTATAAGCTATAACTATCAATTTTACACTATTTTGAATGAAAGTAAATTTATCATGTGGATAAAAATTCAACATTTTTATAAGATATAACCATTACCAATGATTTTCATCAATTTTAATTAGTTTTGGACGAAAGCAAATGAATTACATGTACCACAAAATCTGTGAATTTTATAGGTTATATAATCCATGATTTCTGTTAATATTGGTTCGCATCAAATGAAACTAAATTAATTATGTCTATAAGAAAATTCATGATTTTTATAAACTATAACTCACGATTTCTATCAATTATTGTTCATTTTACAAAAGTAAATTAATATATTTACATAAAAAGTTATAATTTTATGACTAAAAGCACATTTTTTAATAATTTCGGTTCCTTTTTAACGAATATAAATAAATTATTCCTATATCAAAATTTACAATTTTCATGAGCTTAAATCAATAATTTTTTAAATTTTGGTTCATTTCGAATAAAAGTAAATTTACTACGTGTACATAAAAATTTGTGATTTTCGTATGCTACAACCTATGATTTTTAGCAATTTTGGTTTGTTGGGAATACTAAAAAACTTTGTGTACATTAAAATTCACGATTTTCATGGGTTATAATTCCCGATTTTAGTTACTTTTTGTTAGTTTTAAATAAAAATTATTATTATGTATATATATCAAAATTCATAATTTTCATGAGCTAGAGCTCATGATTTTTTGTCAATTTTTGTTTGTGTAAATTTATTATGCATACATAAAAATTTATGGTTTTCATAGCCAATAACTCACATTTTTGATAATTTTGGTTTGTTTTGAATGACTATAAATAAGTTATGTATACATTAAAATTTACAATATTTATGAACTATAAAACACAATATATTTTGGTTATTTTCAAGCTAATATATATTTATTATGTCAACTTTTAAATTTATGATTTTCATAGGCCATAATTCATAGTTATTTTAGTTTGTTTGGAAAGAAAATTAATTTATTATGTTCATCAAAATTTGAGACGTTCATGAGCTATGGTCACTAATTTTTTTTAAAAAAATTGCTTGGTTTTGAGCTAAACCAAATTTAGTATATACACCATTTTTTTTCATTTTCATGAGTTCCCCATGAATTTTTCAATGGTTCATTCATATGAAAGATAATTTGTAATTTGTACTTCAAAATGTGTGATTTTTATGAGCTATAACTCACAAATTCTATTAATTTTTGTTTATTTTGAACGAATATAAATTTATTATGTGTACATTAAATTTAAAATTTTCATGGGTTATAAACCATAATTTTTGTCAATTTTAGTTTGTTATGAACGAATGTAAATTTTATTTACGTCAAAATTTGTGATTTGTGATTTCAATGAGCTGTAAGCATATAATCTATGATTTTTAATAATTTTGGTTCGTTCTAAACGAAAGTAAATAAATTATTTGGACATTAAAATTTATGATTTTGATACCTATGAAGTTTGTTCATTTTGTTTAGTTTTGAAAGAAAGTTAATTTATTATGCGTACTTCAATTAGCGATTGTCATGAGCTATAACACATAATTTTATTATTTTTTATTCATGAGTTTGTAACCCGCGGTTTTTTTAATTTTGGTTCATTCGAACAAAAGTAAATTTTGTATATATACATCAAAATTTTATATCTTCATGAATTATGATCCACAAAATTTTTAATTTCTGTTCATTTTGAATGAAAGTAATTTTATTATGTGCACATCAAAATGTAGGATTTTCATGAGATATAGCTCACGATTTCTGTCAAATTATTATTCATTTTGGACAAAAAAGTAAATTATTTTGTATATATCAAACTTTACGATTTTCATGTGTCATAATTCAGAATTTTTGTTAATTATTGTTTATTTCTAACAAATATAGATTTATTTTATGTATTTTAAAATTTATGATTTTCATGGGCTATGTAACCCATGATTTTTATTAACTTTTATCCTTCAAACGAAAGTAAATTTATTATGTGCAATTTTTATTAACTTATATAACCCATGAATTTTGTCAACTTTGGTCTGTTTCGAACAAATGTAAATTTATTATATGTACATAAAAATTTGTGACTAAATTTGTGACTTTTATGAGGTAATGACCCATAAATATTATTAATTTTGGTTCATTTTGAATGAAAGTTAATTTATTATGTGTACATTAAAATTTATCATTTTTATTGCACATACTAGATTTTAAAGAGAGAAGATAGCTCTTTTTTAAAATCTTTAGATTTTTATTTTACTTCAAAAAGAAAAATAACTTTATTAAAACTTTGGAGGATGGCACGTGACACATTGTTATCCAAAACTATTTAGGCATGTATATTATGAGACGAAAAAAGATTGATGAAACATGTACAATTCTAAAGTTCAACGTTTAATCCAATAATCAATTATACATCTATTTCCACAAACAAACACTTTATAACAAAATTGAACTATTTAATCAAAAAAAGAAAAATCCTAACCATTAAAATTGTAACTCTGCTCAGATTACACAAATTCGAACTTGAAAAAGTTTACATAAACCACTAAAAATAAAATTTAAAAAAAAAATATCTTGAGATTCTAAAAGTACCAGGAGATACACGTGGCCCAATAATTTTTAATTAAATCGTTAATTTATATAAGTCAAGAACAGCTAACTAAACTTACCGTCATATTAGCAGATAAAATCTTCCCCCAAATTTACAAAACCTTCATTAAACCCTAATTTTATAAGCAAAACAATAAATCCCACGATCTTTATAAAAAAAATAAAAAATTCGTCGCCCGATCTAGATTCAGATCTAGAGAAGTTTGGTAGCAGGTACCAGTTTCGGTCTCCGGCCGCTTTCTTCCCTGTTTTGTTTGCGTGAATATTAAGCGTTTTTCGCTTTTTTTTAAATTTATCGTTTCGGTTGTATCGGTCGGCGCTGTTTTTTTTCGATCTATATAAGATCTCGGATCTGTAGGAATAATCTCAAGTGCGTTCAGTGAAAATTTGGAGAAAAAAATTAGGTTTTGAGGGTTTTTTTTGGGGTTTGTTTTTAAAAATTGTTTGGTCGATACAGGTGTTTAGTTTGCAAATTGATCGGATAAATGGCGGCCAATGGAACCACAGTGACAAAGGCACCCCCGAGCCCTTCGCCGTTGAGGAATTCAAAATTTTTTCAGGTAAAGTTGCGTTCTTTAGCTTAAAGTTTTAATCTTGAATTGAGATGACGATCGGGTTGCTTTTTATTGATAGTCCAATATGAGAATTTTGGTCACCGGAGGAGCTGGATTCATTGGATCGCATTTGGTGGACAGGTTGATGGAGAATGAAAAGAATGAGGTACTTGTTTCTTAGATCATTCATATCAATGCTTCTGCTTTCTTTCATCGTTAATGGTTGTAATTTTTAGTCTTGTATATTTGCGTTCGACACAACTAAATATTTGCATGACGATAGTAATGATGACACTGATGGTCAATTTATAGCTCCTCTTGCCCTGCAAAATTACAGAAAATGCAAACTTAAAAGATGGTTCTTTTAGTTAACTTGTGCGTGCAATATTAATGTATATGTTTTTTTATATGCTTTGCAGAAAGTGGTTTTTTTGCTATTAGGGTGTGTTCCATTAGAAGTAGTTACTTGAGTAACAGTTGTAGTTCCCACTCAAGTGTTGGAGTACTTTTCAATCTATTTGAATATCGCAGTAACGCCCCTTTTTTTTAGCCTATATTGCTTTACAACAACCTTTTACTCTTGTAACGACCTCCAACCTAGCGTGTACCTTCAAATTTGGATGTTGTTGGAACAACATGAGGCACCAAGTACTTCTATCCACAGATGTCTTTGCGTGTCTACATTTGTGCTTATTGTGAAGAAACTACTTGTGTTTAACATTCAAATATCATCAACTCCAATAATTCCTAGCAATGTATCTGCTGCATCATCCTCTCATTCTACTTGATTGATCTTAATCCGCAATCAAGATTTGTATGCTTTCCTTATTAACTGCTCGTAAATGCTTTTGCTTTATCATGATCCTCTCATAAATCATAATATGTGGGCGATCGATATTGTCATTCTGAGTTCTAAGGAGAAAATTGATAAGATTTGGGTGATAGTTTATGGGTTACTTCTTGGGACCTAGAAACCATTTTCTATCTAGGCTTTTTTTTTTTGCCCCTGGAAATTTTGAAAAGAAAGCAAAGAATTATCAACCTATGCAGACAGGTTTAATTCCTCTCAGTATACTTATCCCATGTTGGATTGCTGTTAAACTAGAGGTGCATCTGTTTGAAGTTGAACTGTTAAGCTCATTTCTTGTCTCTCTTATTTTTCCTAGGTAATTGTTGCTGACAATTATTTCACCGGTTCAAAGGATAACCTTAGAAAGTGGATTGGTCATCCAAGATTTGAGCTCATCCGCCATGGTATTTGCATGCATACCATTTGTATTACTGTTTTCCTTGTATCATTTTCTTTTTATCATACCCTATATAGGCCCTTAGTCGATCTTTCCTTCATCGTGAGACGGTAGTTTGAGAGAACTTCATTGCTTTTGCTTCTAAATTTTCCCATATTTATATTTTCTACATCTTTTCAGATGTTACAGAACCATTGCTGGTTGAGGTTGACCAGATCTATCATCTTGCATGCCCAGCATCTCCTATTTTCTACAAGTACAATCCTGTGAAGGTATGCATTTCACATAAAACAGGTTTTGCTTTTCTAATCGTAATTCATAATATAGTGTTTTGTCTTTCTAATGAACAATGATAAGATTTCTCGTTATGTTTTGACTTTTAGGTCAGAATAATCTTAGTTAGTAACTCAACTTCTGACGTAGAATCTAATTGACATTATATAATAATAAGCCTGTGTTATAATTTTGACAATTACCACAATATTAATTGTTGCTCTCTTTACTTCTGTCATTGCTACTAAAGCTACAATTGTTTAACTTAAAAGTTTTCTAGTAACTAGTGGTTTGTGTGCTACTTGTTACTTTTACATAATCTGGGTGTGAATTAATTTATGTGAAAGAATCTGACAAGGTGAAATCTAACAGACAATAAAGACAAATGTTATTGGCACATTGAACATGTTAGGACTTGCAAAGCGAGTTGGAGCAAGGTAATGCTCTCGTTATCCTGTCATATGAATTGACTTCTAACAAGAATGATGGTTAATTTTTCTGTATGATTTTTGTCTTACAGGATTTTGCTTACATCAACTTCAGAGGTTTATGGTGATCCACTTGAGCATCCCCAGAAGGAGGAGTACTGGGGAAATGTCAACCCAATTGGTAAGATGTTAGTGAAGGGTCTGGTTATGGCACCAAGCATTGCAGTGTTTATTCCATTTTCATCGCTCTACTTTATCATGATCCTGTTACCTTGTATAGTTTGTTTTTGTTTACTGTATGTTCTGATGCATGAGAACTAGACTGAAATGCTTTCAATATTAAAAATGGTATGCATACCTTAGAGCATGCTGTCTTCATTGAAAAGTGGTGCTTGTTCAGACTTCTTTTTTGCCAAGTACATCATGTTAATTATATGTTATCATTTTATTTCTGGGAAGTAATAGTATTTAAGAGAGAGAAAGAACTTCATCCTATATTTACAGTCTCCTTTGTAGTTTATGGTATATACCCATAATGACCAAAGTGTATTGCACTAACCACTCATATTATATGGCTACTGTTTTGAAACGAATTGGGCTTTCCTCATCTTGTTGTAGGGGTCAGGAGTTGCTATGACGAGGGTAAGCGTGTTGCAGAGACTTTGATGTTCGACTATCACAGGCAGCATGGAATAGGTGATTATCCTTTACTGCTTCCACATTCACCGCATGTTCATCAATCCTTTGTTAACCTTTTGGTACTCGTCCAATGTACTATCTCATGGTGGCTCCTTTTATGGCAGAAATCCGAATTGCCAGAATTTTCAACACATATGGGCCACGAATGAACATTGATGATGGTCGTGTAGTGAGTAACTTTATTGCTCAAGCACTCAGGTACATCTTTTTCATATGCTTCTCGGTGTACCTGGCTGTCTTGTTTGCTTACCTTTCTTTTCACCTCTTATGTAGAGATGAACCATTGACTGTCCAACTACCAGGAACCCAAACTCGGAGTTTCTGTTATGTTTCTGACATGGTAAAGATTGCTTGCTCCATTTACTATCAATTCAACAGATGCAAAATCTGGGCGCTGTACTTTTTTAGTATTTTATGATGATGGTATTTTTTAAATTTTCAATTGTAAGGTTGATGGCCTTATGCGATTGATGGAAGGAGAACACACAGGCCCCATCAACATAGGGAACCCAGGTAAGCTTCAAGTTTTCCATGGGCATACTTGGCCTGTGTTGTGTTTATTATTTCTGCAATTATATTACTCGTATTTTTTTTATTTTAGATCTTGCTGTCACAAAGTTTGTGATGTTCTATGAGTTGGTTGTAATAACTTTGGAGCAAATACCATGACACTGAATCGTATACAAACAAAATATGTGCTACAGTTCATTGAAAATAACTTTTCATGTTTGTTGCGTATTTTGCATTTGGGTATGGGTTAATTTCACAAAACCATTTTGGTGGGATTTGCATGTAAACCCCCTAAGCTTTTTCACCTCACAAAACTGGCTGAACTTAAACTTTTCTCACCCGTAGCTGTAATTATAAAATAACTAAAATGCCCAAGAGGGGAAAAACCCTCAAATGACCATGTGTTATCCTTTACATCTCCTTATGAAATTATGCTGAATATTTCATTCTTTTCACCCAGGTGAATTTACGATGATGGAACTCGCGGAAACTGTGAAAGAGGTAATATCTTCATTAGATTTCTCATCATTAAGATGTCCATTTATCAAATTGAAAGCCCAAATTTCTTAGAGAGAGAAATGTTGTGCTTTTAACTTGCAGTTGATCAACCCTGGGATTACTTTGAAAGAAGTGGAAAATACACCCGATGATCCTCGCCAGAGGAAACCAGACATCACAAAAGCCAAGGAATTGCTCGGTTGGGAGCCAAAGGTGACTTTGCGCGAGGGTTTGCCTCTCATGGAGGAGGATTTCCGTCAGAGGCTTGGTGTTGCCAAGAAAGCATGATGAACATTTTGAAGGATAATTATACATCAATTTGAAGATTTGGTTTTGGGATTTATATAATAAGTAGTACATCTTTTTACAAGTTCATGCCCTGAAAAGTTCCGGAATAAATTGTTGTTTTAGAATGAGTGGGGGCAAATTGCAAGGTCTCGTTTGTTTCAAGTCATCAAATATGATGAACAATAGGATAGTGCAAGTTTTGTTTTAATGTCTAAAGGCATTGATTATTGATAAGAGATTGCATTTTTCTTGATATAAGAGATAATTTCTTTTTCCTTTTCTGTTACATGCAATGACAAGTGCTATGACTGTATCAAGCGTCGACGGTGGTTTGATTTCTTTGATTTACATAGCAGAGTTTGTCTTATTTACGCTTTACTTCTAAAGTAAATTTGTATCTAGTAATTTTGAATATTACGTGTTATTAGACAAATTGTGCACAAAAATGCGTTGAACTCTGATTTAATGTATTACCAATATAAGATGAAGATTTTATGAATTTGAAGAAAATGCATGGGACTTCATACTAATATCACAATAATATGATGAAAAGAGATTACAAGGGGGGGAAAGAACAGAAGATAAAAATGGAAGAAGAGAAAAGCGAAAGATAATGAAAAGAAAAGAAAAGAGAATTAAAAATATGATTATTAGATTTTTAATTATTGATAATTATAATTTGATTATGATTACCAAATGTTTAATATTTTATTATTAAAATTTTGTAATTATAGATAACTTTAATCTGATAAGGATTCTTATGTGAAAATAGAACTAGTTGTCCACGAGATAGTTATAATTTGATGAGGATTACAGATTTCAATATCTGATTGTTTGAACTTTCTACATGTGGATAATTTCAAGTTAAAAATATTCTTAGATGAAGATAATATTTTTTAAGTATATGCCTGTATTGACTCCTCCTGAGGTGGGTGCAGGCTGAACTTTTCACTCCATCTCGTTTTTGAATCAAAAAATCCTTGGTACTCTCAAATACTAATATCATTCAGTACCCTACTAATCAAATTCATTTAAATATTTTTAATCATGATCAAGTGTTTATTAATAACAAGTCTTAAAATTAGTGACATTGAGTTATTGCCGTCTCTTACGTTTCTCATGTGTTGAGTTCGACTAGGACCTGAACTCAGCCACTTTTATCTGCGCCTCTTGTTCAATTATAATTCTAGTTTTTCACTCCTTGATCAGTTTAGCTTTCCCTAGATATGACGAGGAACCAGAGATCTTAATTACAAACAAATTAGTAATCCAGCTCTCGGGTAATAACTACTCATTCTATATGCGTGTGTGTGTGTGTATACACACACAGACACACACACAAACCCCCGGTCCTGAATCATAACCTATAAATAAACAAGGTTCTCTCTTGAACCTCTCCTTCCTCAACAGGGTACGATAACAACTTCGTTCAAAGCCATGGCCTCCTCTTTCATATCTTTCAAGGTTGCGACCCTCACGATCGTAACGATATCGACGTGGTTGTTGATGTCGCAAGCCACTAGTGCCCGGACTCTTGACGTGTGGGTGTGCCACCGTCATCATCGCCACCCCCACCACCACCACCACCACCTTCACCACCATTGTTACCATCATCATCCAGCACCCACGCCTCCAAAGGTACGTATACATACATCAATCACGCATGCATGCTGCTCTTTAGTTTTCTCCTTGTTAATGTATATTGAATCCTTGATTATAGTTTGTTGTATTGATAACATTTTAAGGCTAAATATCATAATACCCAATAACTTTGGATAATTATCAAAAAGTACACCCTTTAACTTTCAAAATATTAGAAAACCCCATCAAGTTTAGGGGTTACCAGAAAACCCCCTTTAGCTTTGAAATTTTATCAGAAAACCCGTTTAAGTTTAGGTGGTTTTTTTGGGTAAAATCTTAAAAGTTAAAGGGGTTTTCTGATAAAATCTAGAAATTAAGGAGATTTTTTGTGATAGTCCAGGGTTCTGATGTTTTGAAAGTTAAAAGGGTTTTTTTTTCCGATAATCGTCCAAAGTTAACGTGGCCCCATCAGGCCATCACCAATGACATCATCTCCAACACCAGTGCCACGGTCATCAACCCCGTCACATGCCCCTTCGTTGAACTTGGCTCCGTCACCAGTGCCGTCATCCTCATCTCCATCTCCATCCACTTTTAATGCTCCTTCACCGGACGGTTGCCCCATAAGCAATGACATCATCCCCAACTAGGGGTGGCAAACGGGTCATCCCGACCCGACCCGACCCATATAAAATTTGACCCGACCCGTATAAGTATGACCCGACCCGACCCGTTTAATAAATGGGTCAATACGATCCTACCCATTTATTAAACGGGTTACCCGACCCAACCCATATAACCCGAATGACCCGTTTATCAAACTTCTAACAATGAACCTAAACTGTTCAAATTTTCCAAACTTCTAAGTAATGACACCATTTCTCATGCATCTGAAGGTCACCCCCTAGCTTGCATTTTTTTTTTCTCATGCAATATCAGTCATCAAAAATAAATAAGAACTTTGATCTCGAGTTTTAGTTGAATACATCATTCATCCTGAGAATTGTGAGGCAAGAGTACAATCTTCAACCAGGTAAACAATTATGTGAGTACCATAAATGGACATGTCCAAAAACTGATAAGACCTAATACATATTGCTGCAGTTTCCAACTTATATTAATACAGTTCTATTCGAATAAGTTCATGATCACAAGGTGGAGAATCAGATTGCAGAGGACAAAATCAGCAAAAGCTCGCTCCGGTGGCAAGTCCTGCAACGAGAGGGTGGATTTGTTAATAAAAGCGCAGCTCACAAGCATATTTGGCACTGGTAAGCACCTAAATGGAGTGACTAATTCTGAACTCTTCATAAGAATGCTTTGAAATGTACTATCTCAAGAGTGACTCAACTATCTCAAGAGTACCAGTTTTATTATCCAATAGCATAATCTTCACAAGTAGCACGATTATCAATATTGTGCATCCAACTTTTATTAGGGGCCATATTCTCGAAGCAGACATGATAACAAAATTACCTAAACAATTATCACAAATATATTAACGATGCGTTAAAGAAAATCTGAAGTTGCTAACTAATAATAATAACATGTTGAAGGCTTAATAGTAACCACCAATGAAACTAACAATAAACAGAGAGCACAAATACTTATAAGTACAGACAAGAGAAGAGACAGTGTAATGTACAATATCAATAGCTGTTAATCAGCTTTGTTGGAAGCTGAATGATAATAGTATGCAAAACAAGTAGGAGAGTACTACAGCGAGTATATTTGATTCAAATTTTTGAGTGACAAACACAGACAGATTAATATGTTTGATTCAAAATTTTAACTTAAAGCTGAAACCGAATATTGCAAAATATACAAACTTTGTACCCAAATATTGCAAAATATACAAACTTGGTACATGTGCTCACTGAAAAATCAGCATCATGTTTTAAACTGGATAGATATTGTAGGCTGTTTTAAACTTAGTGAATAGAGGGACTTATTTTAAGATACTAAAGAGTTCGGAATAATGCACTGTTTGGTTGCTCTCCTCAATCTAAAGAGCATGATTTACGTTACAATGTGGAAGTTTGTCTTTCACATTCTATTACCATCCATATTGCTCGAGTACTCATTAAAGAGAGAGAAAAGCTTGTCTTTCACATTCTTAAGCTCCGTAGAATTGTGTCCATATAGCCCATGATAGCAAAACTCTACAAATTGCATTTTGTATCGGGGATCCAAGATGCACGCAATAGCAAGTAGAACATTGTACTCACTCCAATATTTTTCAAATTAACTACTGTTATGTTTACTTTTTGATATGGTAATTAATAGACACACATATAAATAGGACAGGTATTTCAAAAACTTGACCAATGCCCAATAGTTAAATATAGAAACAGCAGCCAGTAAGAATTAGTTAATTTAGTTTGTTAATGTCAAACTAACATTCCATTAAAAGCTCTTTTATTTAGAAATATTATGAAAGGGATAACAACAGATCAAATTACAACTAATATTGTCGCTTTAAACTTATTTTGTGTGGTCTCAAAAGAAAAGATTACAAGGTACCGCTATGCACAATGCAAAGATAGACATAAAAAGAAAACTAACAAACTAATTAAGTACCAAACTCAATGTATATAGTATCTCCCTTTCTCAATCTTTTCTCTCCATTACAAACAATTTTCTCTCTTTTATCCACTTCCAATGGAGTCATATATTAAATTTTTCGATATCATCTTGGTAATTAATAGACACACATATATTAAAATTTCTCTCTTTTATCCACTTCCAATGGAGTCATATATTAAATTTTTCGATATCATCTTGGTAATTAATAGACACACATATATTAAATTTTCTCTCTTTTATCCACTTCCAATGGAGTCATATATTAAATTTTTCGATATCATCTTGGTAATTAATAGACACACATATATTAAATTTTCTCTCTTTTATCCACTTCCAATGGAGTCATATATTAAATTTTTCGATATCATCTTGGTAATTAATAGACACACATATATTAAATTTTCTCTCTTTTATCCACTTCCAATGGAGTCATATATTAAATTTTTCGATATCATCTTGGTAATTAATAGACACACATATATTAAATTTTCTCTCTTTTATCCACTTCCAATGGAGTCATATATTAAATTTTTCGATATCATCTTGGTAATTAATAGACACACATATATTAAATTTTCTCTCTTTTATCCACTTCCAATGGAGTCATATATTAAATTTTTCGATATCATCTTGGTAATTAATAGACACACATATATTAAATTTTCTCTCTTTTATCCACTTCCAATGGAGTCATATATTAAATTTTTCGATATCATCTTGGTAATTAATAGACACACATATATTAAATTTTCTCTCTTTTATCCACTTCCAATGGAGTCATATATTAAATTTTTCGATATCATCTTGGTAATTAATAGACACACATATATTAAATTTTCTCTCTTTTATCCACTTCCAATGGAGTCATATATTAAATTTTTCGATATCATCTTGGTAATTAATAGACACACATATATTAAATTTTCTCTCTTTTATCCACTTCCAATGGAGTCATATATTAAATTTTTCGATATCATCTTGGTAATTAATAGACACACATATATTAAATTTTCTCTCTTTTATCCACTTCTCCACTCTCTGTTTGCCGACGCTCTCCGCTCGCCGCTCGCCGCCACTGGGAAATTTAGGGCTACTTTTTTTTTCTTTCTCTGCAGTGGCGCGTTTATGAGGGAGTGAGGGACGAAGTCACGAAGGGTTGGTTGTGTTATACGGGTCGGTGATTTGTGTTATACGGGTCAAGAGGTTAACCCGAATTTACCCATTTAATAAATGGGTAAAACTGGGTTGACCCGTTTATGACCCGACCCATGTAATTCAACCCATACCCATTATAAACGGGTCGGGTCGGGTCGGGTTGATGGGTCGGGTCAAAATTTGCCACCCCTATCCCCAACACCATCGCCACGGTCGCCACCCCCGTCAGCAGCTCCTTCACCGAGGACATCTCCATCACCAGTACCGATGCCGCCATCTCGTGGTCGCTCCCCTTCTTTCCCATCCTCACCAAAGTCACCATCTCCGTCTTCAAAACCACTACCGCCGTCGCCTCCACCTTCAGGGTCGACATTGAAGCCATCACAATCTCCACCTATGCCTTCACGGTTTCCAAAACCATCACCACCCTCACCTCCTTCACCTTCACCTTCACCTCCAGCGCCATCGTCACCACCCCTTATACCTCCAGCTTTCGGGTAGGTGCATAAGAATGGCACTGTGATCGTCACTATTAACGGCCAAAAAATTACCGTACCGATGCCACCAGGAACTGTTCCGCACTGGGCACCGTCTTCTGATTCGCCTTCTGAACCCACAGAAGATCAGCCTCCTTCCCGGACATTCTCTCTCCTCTATCATCAGAAGCTCCACCACAAACATCTTCCGTGGATCATGAGACGTCAACTGCAATTTCTCCACGCCCATCCCAAGGCGTCACGATGATCATACTCGTAGTTATTCTTCTTCTAGTGGTAGCAGTAGGTCTAGCTGCTGGATTGTTATTCTCCTTCTGCGCACATAGATAGATTTTCTTCGTATTTTTTTATAACTTTTTTTTAATAATAAAGGTAACATTACAGTTGTTCTATTAATTTCCATTTTATCTTAATTTAATTTGTGTCTTTGACTCGATCCCTTCAAAAGATTAGACCTTAAATAAATAAAAAATTTAAAAAAAAGAGATTCTCTTATGGATTAATATTGAAGAGTATACTGCATTATAAATAAACTATTACATTATCTCCGGAAATTCATAAGAAAGAGGACCTCCCTTTAAAAAAATATAATAAAGAACTATATTAGCAAATCTAGCTCGTCTGGATATTTGAAAAAGTGGGATGCTTAGACCCTGGCAGATAAAAGTATTTGATGGCTACCAATGAAGCTTCCCAGATAAATTATACAAATGGAATCTTCTGATGGAACATGATGATGACAAACAAAAGGAAACTTGCTAAACTTCATGTTTGTGTGAAAGAAGCTTTAACATTCTTGTACAATCACGCATTTGATAACACACGTTAATTTACAAAGTAAACATGGGTAGCTAAAGGGTTAACTGAGATCCAGAACAAAAACCACCAGCCTCATCCCAGTATAGTGACAAACTACATTTGAACTTGTGACATTTTAAGAATTCCTTTTAGATTTAGTCATATTCTCCCAACTTGAAAAGATTATTCTCAGAATTGAGTAGAATACTGCACTAATGCAAGTGGTAATAAAATTCCAACATGACGAGGGCCAGTACCAAGGATAAAGCAGACGGAAGAACAGGCTTATAACATGTCGCGGATGGCGCCCAACCTGTATCAATAAGATTCCATTAGATGCATCAGTGTGAGTTCACTTTACATCATAAATTGATTGTTTACTCAATAAAATTTGCAACCCCTCCTCTGAGGGACCACATTGCTTCACGGATATAAAGAGGGAGAACTCAATGTTGAAACCAGTTAAACATGCTTCAGATTATTACATATCTTAACATCTTAATGTCTCTCCTCAAGATGGAAAAGGACTGATTCAAATTCATCAGCTATAGGACAATTTTTGGAGTGAAAGAGGATAATTGGTTCATCACTACATATTCCTCTGTTTCGAATAGAGGCTTCCATTGCTTAAGTGCTACGATGCCAACCATGCTGCGATCATCACCTCAATAAAAACCACAAAGGAAATTACATGATACATGGTAACAGGTTTCCAAACAACATAGATTTTCTATTTGAATGGCCTAGCATTGGAGTTGAACCTAAAGAATATGACTCTTTATCCTTCCTAAAGTAGCAAACACTATACATCTATGTAAATACTCCGTATCTTATGAATCAGAGTCGCATAAAAGATCGTTCAGGAAGAACTTATATGAACCAGTCAAGGTTGCATCTCATAAGCATGTCAAAAGAAAAGAAAGTGCATTATTTTTACAATATACAAAGGTAAATTAGAATTCACAATTGACATTGTACTAAGATTACCCAGTCAGATTTGCTAAATCTAGAAAGATATAGAAACTTACAGGGAAAAGAAAATCCAGTGTATCCCAGGCCGCATGACGAACAGCTCTAGTTGGATACATAGGACCCCCAGGAGATGTGAAACTGTAGAGGCATGCCTTCAATCTAGTACTTGTAGTCATCCTCAGCTCCCATCCTACATGACAAAATCAGTGCACCGTCCCATTAAAAGATTAAGATAATTAACTCTAAATCTATATCTGTATCATAGTTGTATATGTATAGACACACGCATGCTACTATATAACAAGAAACCATTATGTGTGTGCATGTGATTGTGTGTATGAAGGCTTCATATGAGAATAAATAAAAAGTGGATAGAATGTTATTAACTATTAACAGAAAGAAACATGAGTGTCCACCATATAGATGTTTTCTGGAATTTTCATTTCTCGATTAAATTATAATGCCTCTGCACCTTAATTTCTCAATTCAATGAAATGTATAACCCTTTAAAAATTTAAATTTCTTACTTTTTTAGAGAAATAATCAATTTTATTGATGTACGTATGCCACATGACAAGAAAGCCTTGCGCGTGCATTTGAAACCTTAGCATGTGGACCAAAAAGAAGCTACCTAGTGTCATTAAGTAAAGGTATCACAAGGGTGATGGGTCCACAGTGTAAATGCTTTGCGGAGCTTTTCATTTCTCTGTTGACTAAAAATCATCTCAAGATAAACTAATCCACAACTTTTTATTTATGTTTTTCTGAAGAATGAATTAAGTAACGTTTATTGAATACTAGAGTTCTCCATCCTTTTCAATTCTACATGCATTTGCTCGAGTCTCGAATCTATTTATGTAACCTGATAAGTGATATGAACCAGGATTCACTACCTCGAAGAGCTCTCATGTGAGAGAGATAATGTAGAAGCACTGGCTCGACTTTTAACTTTTGAAGCTGAGATGACAAATCAAAAAAATAATGCACTCGTGAACGCCGGAATAAGTTGCAAAACATAAAATTTACCCCCCATTCACTAGAAGTAAGTACCTGATCCGTAAGCTCAATGACAAATAAATCTGCTGGACCACCAATAAGGAAAGCATTTGTAGGAATGGGGAAATTCTTCAAAAAAATTTCAAGCAAGTAATCTGCATATGAGCATAACACATCAAGACAACTGATATATATGTCTTTTAGGAAATAACTCAAATTTTCATGATGATAAAAAAGACACCTTGACTTAGCTAACTTCCATAACCACCCTCCTGTGTTCTTAAACATAATTACAAAACAAGCACATCAAGGAATCGCATAAACTGGTATTTTGTCGCCATGCTTTCAGAATGCAGGAGGATCAGTTGGACATAGCCATAGTTCAAGGTACTTACAATTTTAAGCAGAAAACAATACTGTTATAAATAGCGGTAAATAGCCCCGTAATAGAGGCGCTAATAATGTTAGCGATCCCTTCCTACTACCCTATCGCCCAATAACGGTGACATATAGCGGAATATGCGCTTTCTGTTCGCAAAAGCGGCCAATAGTGTGCCATAACGGTAAATAGTGGGCAATTGCATGCGAAATTCGCTTTTTGACTGCTATTTAAGCGATTTGTGGTTTTTTTTTTTTTAAATTAAACCCGACCCTTGACCATTGCATCCCACCGTCTCCTGTGATTTTTAGCATACTCCCGTCACCTCTCATAGCCTCTGGCACCTATCTCAGTACTTCCTCTCACCTCCTTCATCGTGAGCTTCTCTTAGGGCAGTCCTCTCACCACTAAGCTCTTCTTCTCGAAGACGACGACTCTTTGACTCCTCCAGTCATCTTCGGTATTACGTATTACGTGATGGTTAGTTGGTTACATGTCTATTTCATGTTTAGGATCTCTTTAAATCATCAAATATGTACTTTTAGATTTTTCTTTAATCTTTTTTTAGTATTTATACATATCTAAATTAGACCGCTATTTGACTTTGCGTTTTTTACCGCTATTTTACTGCAATAGCCTCAAATAACCTTAGCGATGCCTCACCGCTACGCGACACTATCTGCTATCGGTAACATTGGTTGCATACTAGAAAGACTTGCATTAGCTTACATAAAAATGGAATGAGAATGCTCAAAGTTGGATAAACACACCTAAATTGTAAAAGAAAATGAACCTGGAAAGAAGAGAAAAAAGGTCTCTGCGGGTCTGCACAAAGAATATGAGTCAACAAAGAAGATTTTAGTAATGCAATAAGTAATTGACTAGATATGCAAGGTAACAAGCAACCACAACAACATATAGACATATACCTGTAAAGCAATTTTATTGAGAGAGTGTGGAACAAGGGCAACTTCCTCTAGTAGATACTGAGTTAGTTAAAAGGAAAAAAAATGAGTACATCAGATAATTCTGCATGCAAAAATGGAACATGTATTAACATAAAGAAAGACCAACATAAATGCCGGAATATCTCCAAATTCTTACACAGAACAAGGATAAGAAACGCCTCGTATTTGTCTGAATGTCAATCCTGACAATATTCAAGATGAATAGGATAAGGGATTCTGGACAGATATGAAAACTATTAAATATGCAAAACTTTGAAAGAAGAAAAAGATTTCTGCTCCCAATTGCATTCAACCACAGCCCTTTTAAACAAACTTCATGAAAACAATGGAAACTTGGTTGTTAATGAGATGAGCATATGACATTTTTCATTACTTTTCTGAACGTGATCGTAAACTCAGTAGCCAAGAAAGAGACAAACTGCAATAAAACGCAAACGAGTATTGTTGGCCTTTTTGTTTTGATGATGTTTTAACAAATAATTTACAACTAATATTGTTTGTCTAGTGTTTATGTTTTCGTATTTATTCTAGGCAAACAATGAGTTGGAGGATGGATGGAATCGAGCTTTCACGATTATATCCAATGAAAGTTGACGGAATATCGGTATGAAGCAATGCAATTCAAGTCAAGATCCAAGTTCAAGCTTCATCCGCAAGTTTACCAAGAATAGCTCATTAAAAATCAAGATTGCTTAGGTAAATTAGTTTAGGTGTTATATTATGTGTGTTAGCTCAATCACATACACACATACAAGTTTTGGTTTCTTATATATATATATATATATATATATAGTTATATATATACACATTTTGGTTTTTGGTCAAGTTTATATAAATATAAATTTGTGAAAATGTTGAGTTATTTGTTTATGGACTTAACAATCATTATATACATCTTTTATTAAGTCTATATAATCATTTTATAAAGTTTTAAAACATGGTTTAGTCAAAATATCAAATGTCAAGTGTGTTCATTTTCATGTTTTGGACTAGTTTTGAAAAATGATGAGATTTTACTTTTGGGAAGTGTAATTCCAAATATTCTTTTTGTAACATGTTTATTATCATGTTTATAATCATTTCCTAAAATTTTACATTTTTATGAATTTATTTGCTATTTTTAAAAGCACTTTAAAAATCAGATTTTTAGTATGAACAGTGCATGTGCATGTTTTTAAGTCGACTTATAACACCTGACAAGTCGACTTATGTTCTCTTCTGGAATGATCAAATTTTTTTCTGGCAAGTCGACTTATAGTCTTTTACAAGTCGACTTATATCATGTTTTCCACTTCTTGTTTTTAACTTGTAAGTCGACTTATACTTTATATCAAATCGACTTATACCAAGTCAACTTATAAGTCGACTTATAAATCTGACCGTTGCACAGTAACGGTTATTTTCAGATTTTGTGTATTTTAATGATTTTTATGGGTTTTTAGGGTTTTCTTGGGCTGGTTTCTTCCACCCTACTCTATATATACCACATTGTCATAATTATTTTCAACTACCAAAAGTGTTTAAAAACAAGTTTTAAGGATGTTTAAAAATTCGTTTAAGTTTTGTTTCAATTTTGTTTTGTGAAGAAATTTTCACAAGAGGAAGAGGAGGTTATTCATTCTTGTTTGGGCTTCAATCTACATCCCTCAACTCTTATTTTAGAAAAAAATTCTTAAACTCATTATCTAGCTTGTTTATGCTTAATTTGTTATATTTATTTTTTGCTAAATTAAATTGAGTTTATATTTGTTTTACTCTTTGTTTACACACACAACCATTGAGCTTATTGTATTTGCATACATAGTATAATTGGGATTGTGAGATTATGTGACTTAGAGAGTGAGCTTACACTTAGTTCTCATCATTGTATTGGAGAACAAAATTTGTTATTTAACCTAATTATGGGATACACTTTGTAATACACTTATACACTGAGAGGAGTATGCGGTGAGAGACGGGATCGTCCCAAGAGGAGTGACGTCGGTAGTAAAACCTAGGGAGAGGTTGTAAATCCGAGCACTTGAGGGAGATACGGGCTAAAGACCAATACTTAGAGGGTGTAGAGTGGGATTGCAAGAGTGTTGATTGTAAAATTTTCGGTGAGCTAGAAAACCGAGTGTGAGGTGTAAACGTTATTCAGGTGAGAATTGAAAACCCGGTTGTGTAGTGGATTTCTCCTCGGGAGTGGAGAGCGGAGACGTAGGACGGAAGGTTCGAACTCCGTGATCATTTGATTGTGTTTGAGTTTGCTTTGACGTTTCATTTGTGCTTAGAGTTCATTACATTCTTATCGTCATTGTCAATTGCTCTTTGTTTATTTTGTCCACTATCTTGTTTATATTGCTTTGTGTTTATATCACACTTAGTTTCATATCCTTGCATACATATCTTGTTGCTATCTAATTTGATAGGATATTTGTTAATTAGTTTTTAATTAACATTAAATCGGATTAGATTAGTATAAACCTTATTCACCCCCTTTAGAGTTCTTTCCTAGTGGCATTAAGGTCTAACAGGTATTTCTCAGAAATTCTAATATACCCCCAACACAAAAAGACGGAAGACCTTTTTTTTGTCAGTTCATGAATTACAGGATAAAATAAAAAAAAGGAATAAAATCAACCAAGTCTGAGGCTTTTATGCCTGCCTCAACTCCAATCAATTAATTTATTTCCTCATAAAAGCAGGTGCCAAGTAATTGGTCCCATGTTGTCAAGAAAAACCAATGCTGCCACCTTTGACAAGAAAAACCAATCAACAAATATCATATGCTGCCACCTTTGACAAGAAAAACCAATCAACAAATATCATATGTTGCCACCTTCAAAGCCATATTACCTTTTAGATTACCCTAAAAATAATCATGATAACTCAGGAGTTCATGTGTGCGTTCCCATCTGCCCGCCACACACACACACGTAAAAAAAATGGGTATGAGATGTTAGCTACTATGAGATAAGACTATTGGTGAGACCCTTCCTGCTAGTCACATCGGAATTAGCACATTTTGTTAAATAAATGGTAGCTTATAATGGAGGAGATGACTTATATCCATTATCCTCATATGTGTGAGTGTGTGTGTACGTGTGCGTGCGCACACATACATGGTGAGAGAATTTGATCTGCTTTTGAAATTAAAATGAAAAGTTACCAATAACATACCAAAAAACATTAGTAGCGCCCTGAACAAGAGCAGATCCATATCTTAGAACTGCTTCAGAATTTTCAAGCGGGACTTCAAACAACTGCAATAGGAACCAATGCGCATGGGTTAGGCTTTTATACGCTGATACAACAAGAAATAGGAATAGCAACAAAAAAAAAACGTTTCCATCAACATCATGATCATCTAAGGTCTTCCCATCAACATGGCTGGTAACAAGCGCTAAGCTCTACACGAAGTTTGAAAAGGTGCGGTGCACCCACATTCAACCTTTGCTTTGTCCATCTTATTATGTTATGTTATTGACCTTCATAAAAAATTATTTAGCATAGTTCGTATTTTAAAGAGGGGAATTGACATGTTCCACTTGAAGGGGAGAATGATGATGTTGATGAGGATGATTAGATTTTTTTTATTTTTTATTTTTTGCTCACTTCGTAGACTAGTTGGGTTTTTTTATATTAGTTTTGATTTGACTTTTCATTTGTGAAATTATGAATTTCACTACTGAGTTTGTTAACATTCTGAATTAAGATCCTATTCTGAATTAAGATCCTATTTCATAATTTGGTAGTTGACATCATTTACCTTGACATCTTTTTATGTGAATTTCATGAACATGTTACTCCATGTTTGTTTGTCTATCTTGGAAAAATTGTGTAAGGTATGTGCATGCCTTCAGTGAGGTGTGCACGTCGGATTGCGCCCTGCAAATGGTGTGTGTAAAGGGCATTTGTGCTCTGCATTGCGCCTTGCGCCTTGATAACATTGGTATGTTGGTCTTGTAAACTCAAGTATAGGATGCTACTTACATATGAAATAATCTAAATTTAGTCACATGATGTATAGATAACTAGCTTTTGTCAAAAGTGCTAGAATAGACTCTTACAGATAACTTTGAGTTTGAGGCAATAGCAGTTTGCAAATTAGTAAGCGCTGGACACTGGATGGACAAAAATAACGGTCTCTAAACGTGTCAGACAAGCCAAACCTTAATCGAGGTAGGTGTTCTATGTATCATAGATCATAACACAGCAATATGTCAAATCAAATATCCGGACGGAGCAAGTAAACCACATACCCATTTATGGAAAAGAAGGGCAAATATATGCGACACAAAAGACTGGCTCCACAGTTGGACAATCAAATCAAGGATGCGCTTTCCGTTTTCAGGGACCCTGACGTAGTGATTCGCAAGAACATCATAAAAGCACAAGCTATTTTCAATTCCGTCATCTTTTTCAGTGACCCCGTCTTCATCCCCGCTGAGAAGCACGTCTATTTTCAATTGCATTTTCAAAAGATCAGAATCTAATTAGGACCCCGGATCATAGTGGCCCATAATTTCTCAACAGAGAGCTAGGAGGAATTAGTGAAGAAGTCGTTACCTCGAGCACGATCGTCGATCTCCAGCGCCATATCAGCAAACAACTGCTGCAGCAAATCGAACCTCTGAGATTGAGAGCTCAACGCCTACGACAGCAACAAGAATGACAGAGTTCACAATCACATCTAATCAGATCAAGATCTCGCGTCGGAGAAATCGAGGCGATACCTTTTGGAGTTTGCGCTCGATCTCCTGCGTGAGAGCGGTCAGGTACGCGGATCTCTGAGCCGACGGATCCTTCTGCATTCCGGAGATCGGAGTGAGAGGCCAAACCCTAACCCTAGAATTTGATTGAAACCCTAGCTCTCGATTTTGGGGGAAGAATTCGAGAGAGAGAGAGAGAGAGAGAGAGAGAGGAGGAAAGCGAGTCCCCGGATCGGAAGCCCAAAGGGGGGACAAGCCAGGTGGCGAGGGGAGGGGAAGCGGCAGATAATGCTGGATAGAGACCGGTTTGTCAAATGACAAGAAAGGACTCTCGAATCGGAGGAATTTCACCCGGGGGTCCGGTAGATTAGGTGGGCAATTTCGTCATTTGCTGAGCTGGTGGGTTCCACGCGCGGCGCTTTGCTTGTGCGGTGAGTTACCTTGTGGGCCAGAGACACACCGGTTGTTGTTAATAACTGGAAAAAAAATGGCGGTAGTTAATGCTTAACTAAGGTTGTGTTTGGTTTGAATGAAAATCAAGGAAAAGAAAAGGAGATTATGCTGTTTGGTTTGGAGGAAAGAAAAATGAAAATGAATATGGAAAATGGATAGAAAAAGAACCACTATACTTTTATCTTACAATTTCTTCAGCCCAAAGTGGGGGATGTTTGGCAATCTGAAAGTGAATTTAAAATATGTACGTTATTTTTTTTTTGCAAATGACTTTTACATCCATGTCAGCACACAAGTGAAATACAGTGTTTGTTTGAAAAATTAAATTATTATCGAAAGTGCATTGTGAAGATGACGTGACAAAATAAGATTAATTAAAAAGTATAATTAAAATCATTTAATTAAATTAGTTACATTTTTGTCACTTTCACGTGACTTCACCATTTTTTTAGGGGAAGTCAAAATTGCATTAAGTCATATGTGATAGCTTTCTTGCATCTCACTTTCATAACCACTTACATGAAGACAAACATCTTAATTGTTATATGAAAGTAACTTTCTTACTTTCATTTTTTACTTGCATGCAAACAAACACCCCTCCAGTGAAAATGAAGGGAAAAAACGTCGGGCTGCTCCTCGAGGCTGCCTCATCGCTTCCTCTACCAAAGGAGGAACGCTAGTCTCCAGTCACTCAATCACACTTAACTCCTCTTGGTTTGTGGACCACACTCATTAGTTTATGTAGAGCCAAGTGAAGAATTAAAAATAAATGAGCCGTTGCTTAGGCCCAATTAGGGGCTGTTTGGTTGGCATTTTTTGCCCTTATAAAGCTGCTAAAACTGATAAAAGCTATCAGTTTTGACAGCTTTACTTGCAAAAACGTCTATTTTTAGGCGTTTTGCAAGTAAAGCTGTCAAAACTGACAGCTTTTGTCAGTTTTGGCAGCTTTACAAGAGCAAAAAATGCCAACCAAACAGCCCCTTAGGGGAAAAGATTGATTTCGCATTAACCCATGAAGTTTGGTGGTTTTGCGTATAATCCCCCAGAGCTATTTTAATTCCAAAAAAACCCTGTGTTAGATCTAATAAAAACTTAAGATCTAAACCATAAAGCCATGATTTAATTCAAAGAGATTAACAAGAATCAAAAGGTGCGGAAGCATATACCTGAATCCATTGAAGAAAACTTGATTAGGGTTTTGATGATCTTCTAACCTTAGGGTTTCTCTCTTATGGATCTCTTTAGATGGGGATAAGAGAATGAGAGTGGTTAACCCTAGATTAGGGACCATAACCCCTTATATATAGGTGTTGTACATTTATAATTTGGCCCCTTATCAAATTACAATTACAACCTGGTATCTGCACATATAACCCCCATGATTTATTTAAATACCTATTAACCCAAATTGATTGATCACTTTAAGTGGGTTATCCTTAAAGATAGTAATACACGTTGATTAATCATATGTGCCCACAAATAGATTTAATTAGATTTAAATCCAATAATCTCCCACTTGGGCACCATATGATTTCTTAAATTGTGTATAACCTTATGAGCTCAAAATTGCTATCATTAAAAAGATATTTCCAAACAATCTTGTCCATTGACTATATCAATATAGGATCAAAGCGGCCTTTGTCACATTTATCGTGACTCGACCCATCAATGGTCACATATACCAATACAATCAAACGACATAGATCAATCATGGATGTGCAGCATGAAAATTACATGCAATGTGATCAGTACATGTCTATTTTCAAGTGGTCCTCCTTTAGTGAGGTCAAAACCAAACATAATAAAACAGAGTGTCTTAACTGAATATTTTATTCTGATCAGACAATACAACCAAACACAAAGCACCAGAAAATTATAAACTCCCACTAAATCAGGATATCCTTGAATAACACCACACCCATATGAGTAGTATGCTCATGAAAGACCTTGGATGGCAATCCTTTAGTAAGAGGATCTGCTATCATGGAGTTTGTCCCAATGTGCTCTATAGATATCTGTCCACTCTGTACCCTTTCTTTTACAACCATGAACTTAATATCAATATGTTTTGATTTAGTTGAGCTCATGTTGTTATTGGAATACATAACTACAGATTTATTGTCACAAAATAACCTCAGTGGTCTTTCAATATTTTCCAAAATGCGCAGTCCAGTGATAAAATTTCGCAACCATATTCCATGATTTGATGCCTCATAGCAAGCTATAAACTCTGCTGCCATAGTGGAGGAAGCTACGAGTGTCTGTTTTACACTTTTCCATGATATAGCTCCTCCTGCTAACATATACATGTAGCCTGATGTAGACTTTCTGCTATCTTGGCATCCAGCAAAATCAGAGTCCGAATTCCCAATGACCTCCAACTGTTCTGATTTTCTATATGTGAGCATATAATCTTTTGTTTTTTGAAGATACCTCATAACCCTTTTGACTGCTATCCAATGATCCATACCAGGATTGCTTAAGTATCTGTCTAACATCCCAACAATGTACGTAATATCTGGACGCGTACATACCTGAGCATACATTAAACTTCCTACAGCCGAAGCATAAGGAATCTTAGGGCACTGATTGAGACTAAACTTGTCTCCTTTAGCAACAGGGGTGTCACCTGGTCTGCAATCTTGCATGCCAAACCTTTTAAGTACCTTATCGATATAGCTCTTTTGTGATAATCCAAGAATACCCCGAGAGCGATCTCGATGTATCTGGATCCCTAATATAAAAGAGGCGTCCCCAAGATCTTTCATCTCAAAATTCTTTGATAGAAATCTCTTGGTTTCGTGCAACATACCTATATCATTAGTGGCAAGCAATATGTCATCAACATACAGAACCAGAAAAATATCTTTACTCCCACTGAACTTGTGATATACACAGTCATCAACAATGTTCATCTCAAAACCGGACGAGATAATTATTTGTTGAAACTTGTAATATCATTGACGAGGAGCTTGTTTGAGTCCATAGATGGATTTCCTTAATTTGCAAACCATATTCTTCGGGTCTCCTGACACAAAGTTTTCTGGTTGTACCATATAAATCATCCCATCAATGTCGCCATTGAGAAATGCAGTCTTAACATCCATCTGATGTAACTCAAGATCATAATGAGCAACAAGTGCCATGATTGTTCTGAAAGAGTCTTTCGATGAAACCAAGTCTCTGTATAATCAATCCCTTCCTTTTGAGTATAGCCTTTAGCCACAAGACGTGCCTTATACCTCTCCACATTACCATTTGCATCCCGCTTGGTTTTAAAAATCCATTTACAACCAATTGGTTTTGCACCTTCTGGTAACGGGACAAGTTCCCAAACCTTATTGTCTTGCATAGACTTGTACTCTTCATTCATGGCATCAATCCACTGTTGAGAGTTAGAACTTTTCATGGCCTGAGAGAAGTTGATTGGATCATCTTCTAACATTCCACTACTTTCCTCATGTTCTTGGAGAAATACAATATAATCATCCGGAATAGCATTTATCCTTTCTCTCGTGGATCTCCTTAATGGCACTGGTTCTTGAGGTTGTTAAGTTTGTTCTTCTGGAACAGGGAGTTGTTCAACATTATCATCTTGAGGTTCCGGATTTACTTCTTGAGCAACAACAGGTATAGGAACCTGAATATTATCAAAAGTAACTGTATGGATTGGATCTGAAGCCAATTCCTCCTCAAAACTAATGTCTCTAACCTTATTTCTCCCCCCAAACTCAACATCCTCAAAGAATGTTGCTGTTCCCGTCTCAAAAATATTCCTTATAGTGGGATCATAAAACTTATAGCCCCTAGAGCGATCAGGGTACCCAATAAAGTAGCTGCTAACTGTTTTGGAGTCCAATTTCTTTTCATTTGGCCTATAAGGCCTTGCCTCAGCTGGACATCCCCAAATATGTAAATGCTTTAAACTGGGCTTTCGACCAGTCCAAAGCTCATAAGGTGTTTTAGCAACTGCTTTACTTGGTACTCTATTCAGAATGTAAGCTGCTGTCTTAAGTGCTTCTCCCCAGAGTGACTCTGGTAAAGAAGAATGAGCAATCATACTTCTTACCATATCCTTAAGAGTCCTGTTTCGTCTTTCAGCTACACCATTCATGCTAGGTGAACCCGGCATAGTGTACTGTGGGACGATACCGCATTCCTCTAGGTATCTAGCAAATGGTCCTGGACGTTGTTCACCTGAACCATCATATCTACCGTAGTACTCACCACCACGATCAGATCTGACGGTTTTAATTCTTCTGTTGAGTTGATTCTCAACTTCAGCTTTATAGGCTTTGAACATGTCCAGAGACTCAGATTTTTCATGAATAAGATATAGGTGCCCATAACGTGAGTAATCGTCTATGAATGATATAAAATATTGTTGACCATTCCAGGATTCCGTAGGGAATGGCCCACAAATATCCGTATGTATCAATTCTAAGACATCCGAAGATCTGTTGGCACCTAATCTTTTCACTTTGGTCTGTTTTCCCTTGATACATTCAACACATACGTCGAAGTCCGAAAAATCAAGGGAATCCAAAATGCCATCAGACACAAGACGCTCAACTCTACCTTTTGAGATATGACCCAAGCGCTTATGCCATAATGTCGCTGAATTTTCCTTATTTAATTTACGCTTAGTACCACGTGATTCCACATGCAAGGATTCATTATAAGAAGCAATTGTATCAAGCAAATATAGGTTGTCACAAGTACTCAAGTAACCAGTTCCTACAATAATTGAATTAAAAGATAAACTGAATTGATTGTTTCCAAATGAACAAGAGTAACCT